CAGCAATAATGTAAGATAAGGTCAGGGAGCTTTTTTTCTGCCCATAAAGAAGCATTGTGATTTCATCAATTCAAATGTGCCAAATTTGGAGATAATAGTTTGGAGCATTGTTTTCACTTGACAGCAAACATACATAGCATGGGACTCTGTGCACTCAACTCTGTGCATGTCACATCTCATATAGGTGGAGCATCTTATCCAGGAGAGAGGCTGGGAGTTCATGTGGAACGAGCATCTGGGCTACATCCTCACATGTCCCTCCAACCTGGGCACCGGCCTGAGGGCGGGCGTGCACGTACGCTTGCCGAAACTCAGCAAGGTAATACATGCACACTTTCAGATGAATCACCAGCTGTCCTGTAACAGTCACAACTCTGTAGGAACACACACAGGATGCAACTTTACCTAAATTGACAAGAATAGTCTCTCTGGTTCATTTCGTTGTCTGCAGCGATGGAGTTTGGGCATTTCTCATGGAGCAGTAGGCTATAAAAGTTACATTTTTCTGAGAAATTTAAAGATGTTTCGTGATATTCTGTGTTTTAATGTCACTAAATTCCATTAAAACTATAATTAACAATAAATGTCTCCTACTAACAAGTGAACTGTTACAGTGGGTCACATGTTTCCTCTTCACCATTAACACACACACATTGTAGTTAATTGTGAATCAGTCCCCCATATACACTGTCCCACTGCACCAAAAATGTCCCCGACAACTTCATACTCATGTTTGTGTGAAGAGATTAAACCAGACTTTAAATGTATTCTGCAGAGGAAGCTCATATGACACAGTCAAAAGCTCCTAAATGGATAACTCTAGCCCAAAGCTTTAACCAAAAACTAAAATGTAATTAACTATATGGTAATGAAACCAATGTGTTTACAAAGTCAAATCCATATTAGTTTTATTTGTTCTTCTGCTCTTGGAAATCTTTCAATTTACTGCACCATGTTACAAACGATTGAAAACACTGTGCAGGACCAACGTTTCTCCAAAATCCTCGACAACCTGCGGCTGCAGAAAAGAGGCACAGGCGGGGTGGACACGGCTGCTACTGGAGACACCTTTGACATATCCAACAACGACCGTCTGGGCAAATCTGAGGTGAGGATCAGTCATGTTGCATTAAGAGATATTTTGTTCCTGCTGTTTATTTGTTTATGTTATTCAGGAACTTCATTTCCATCATCAGACTCATGAAAAGCCGATCGGAGTCACTGTTTACTGTAAGAATGAACTTTGTGTGTGTGTGTCTGCAGGTGGAGCTGGTCCAGCTGCTAGTCGATGGGGTCAACTACCTGATTGAGTGTGAGAAGAAGCTGGAGAAGGGCCAGGACATCAAAGTCCCAGCTCCCATTGCTCAGTTTAGGAAATAAAAGCTGGACTCACTGTGTTAGATGGAGGTCAGCGCTCTGTTCGGTGCTCCCTGCCACACTCAGCCTGTGGAGAAACCTCAGACTAAAAACTGTCCACTGCTGCAGAGGAGGTCCTTACTTACTCCTCCCACAAATCTTTAGGGTGGTCTTATGCTAGACATGATCTGCTGTTAGGGGGAATTCTACCTCACGTTAAGGTCTTCATTGTAACCCTGACTTTCATTAAAATCAAAAATATTTAAAAAATTAGACTGTATTTTTGACTTCTCTTACTTCATCTAATGTGTTTGTCTCATAAATCCTCCTTCATTCTTCCAGGAGAATGGAGACAATTTATTTAAAGGTTCAGTGTGTAAGATTTAAGTGAAACGATCTATTGGCAGAAATTCAATATGAAATAACCCTAGTGATGTTTTCACCTGTGTGTTTCATATAAATTGTACGGATTAGTGTTTTATTTACTCTTGAATTTGCCCCTTTATATTTAAATATGTTATATTTACATCTGGAGTGGGTCCACTCTACGGAGGCCGCCATGTTTTTACAGTAGTCCAAACTGGACAAACTTTTGAGTTTTTAAAACAACTGAAGGTTTCCACAGGTTCTCTGTCATATTTGGAAGAGAGGGATGAGGTGACGTGTAACAACATGCAAATTCACCACTAGATGTTACTTAATTCTGCACACTGAACCTTTAGGGAAAACTACTATAACCTTCAAGGTACGGTACTGGGGTAAAAAACATTTGACCCCACACATTTCAAATTTGGTCAGAAAAGCTAATTCAGTCAGGAACACTTTGTCATGATTTACCCATTTGTTGCAAATGGGGATACAGTTATGATTGGTGCTGAAGGCTCCATTCTTTGGATGTTCCCTGGATTAGCCGAGCAGGGTGCTTAGATAAAACAAGGAACATATGTAGAACCCCTGTTGGGCGTAGCAGGTAATGTACGTTTGTTTAAAATGAATATCGTTTACCAGGACCGTGTTTGGACTCAGTGCTTAAAAGGTGGAGGCTGGGGTGGTGGAGGCAAGTTGCCGGCAGCAGGTGTGGGTGGCAGTGTAGCTGAGCAGGGATCAGTGAGGATGAGGTCATATTTAAAAAGACCGTTTTGGTGAGCATGGGCTGTGATTGGTGGGTGACTGGCGAGCACCCTTAAACCTATCAGTAGCTGACAGCTGAGCACATGACTCCAAGTCCTGCATGAACTAACGCAACGCAAAGCTCTTGGGCCTTGGGCTGTCGTCAAGACTCTTTTCTTGGAAACACCTTCTTTTCAGGCTCTGATTGCATTTTCTTTTTTAATCTATCTATTTTTTTCATTTCTTTTTGACATGGGTACTTCACTACTGTGCCCATGTGTGTACTGTTATTGTTATTTCCATGCAGCTGCTTTACTGTAAAAGTCTCCCAAGTGGTGACCATCATGTAGTTCATCGTTATGTGGAAGGTTTTCACTAAGAAGTAGACTCAAGTGCTCAGAGTGCAGTTATGTTGACATTTTTTCTCATACATAGCTGCATAGTTATAGTAGCCCCGTTATGAGAGTGTGGCACGTTGCCATGTTATGGTGAATATTAGTAAATGATTGTATTAGTGCAGACTCACAGAACTGAACCTAACAGTTCATCCATGATTTCTTTAAATAGATTTTCTCATTGTCTAATACCATACTGTGTGTCTCATAAGAGTAATGATGAGGGTCACATCTTTTTTCTTACTGTAGCAGCTCAGCATAAAGACAAGACACTTAACTTTGTATGAAACAAAAATACAGTGCTGATTTATATGGATCATTGCCCAAACAGCTCTTCATTTTACTGTAGCTTCACACACAATGTTTAATGATGGCATATAACTCAAAATCATGGAATTTATTTTCCCTATATTTTCAATTTACAGCACAAACAAGACAATTTATGTGCATGCTATCCAAACATGCAAACGATGGATCTGATCATTCCAAAAACGAATGAGATCCTCTCAACCTGTCACAGTATCATTCAGTCTGAACCTGTTTTTTTTGCTGCAGTCAAAATAGAAAATAACTTGTAGTATAGAAACTGTGAATCAATGAACCTTGGTCCAAACAGAAAATAGAGCAAAACCAGTAAGAGGGTGGTACCAAGGAAAAACCCAGTTACCTAGAGTTTGGAGCAGGTTGGGGGTGCATCAAGTATTACAGCCAGCCATCCCACCAGGTTCTTCATTATGATGACCACATAGATTCTTTTTCATGTGGCCACATTTGAAAGGGGAGAGGGTGTGTTCTTGGGCTTTTTACTCTCTCAACATTAGATTAAATATTTAGCGAGTAGAACTGAGTTTTAGTCTGTATTTATTAGATTGTATTCCATTTTGACCTTTAGGACCTCGGCTGTTTCTTTCCTGCTGCTTTCAAGCCATTTTGCTTTAAGGATGTTTCCTCTTTTGTAAAGATGCCCCTGTCTACCCCTCATTATTCTATTTATCAGTGGTATGGAATTAATGGATTGTTCAGAAACTTAACAGAGTCTTGGATATTTCAATGGTTTTCTTTGACTGTACGAACTTGTTTTGTTTAACTGTTACTGTAGCTGTGATTATCAGACAGTTTCAATGTTGGGGTGACTGGAATCATCATATAAAATATTTAAATGTATCCTTCTTCAAAGAGACATTTGATTAAATTCAGTTAAAGGCAGAAAGAAAGGTACCCTGAGTACCTCACCAAAGCCACTAGATGGCAATGCTGCACAAAGTTTCAGGGTCATCTTGATGATGTGGGGCAGTTTAGAAATAAACACATCTGATGGTAACTGTATATGGATTTTTAATTTTGCTTATTTTTTTCAATATTATTACATGTGTATTTTAAGTTTTTAAAGTAACTGGTTAAACAACAAAACAAGAAAATGTTACTTAACACTTTTATTTTTTTATTAACACTTTTTATTTACTTTTTATACTTTAATTAAAATTAATTTCCACTTGTCCTTCATCCAAGTTCATCTGAACAATCTCTTCACTCTCTTAACAATTCTGCCCAAAAACTTCCTCATCCTCTTCAGTCTGCTGACTCTGGCAGGACGAGTGTCTTCACAGAGCTGTGTCTCTTGAGCTGCATCAGGTAATTGTTGGCTCTCAG